TTATAACACTATGCAAAATGTGTTGAGTCACACCTGGTTGATGCAAATTATGCCCAAAACCAGCTGGCCACTTCCATCTTAAGCATGTTTCTACGCAGTTTGTGGCGTAGGCCTTGATAAGCCAGGACACACTAGAGGGGTGCTCGTCAATCGCTCATGTTGTTGTGCCTAAGGGCTCAATCTCGAGCCCGTCATCAGCCACGCAACGGCTGGTAACATAAGCAGAATAACGCTACCGAGAAAGGCATGTGACAAGTAGCCCGTAGCCCACTAGTTAGATCGCTGGAAGTCTTACTAGAAACGCGAATTCAAGCCTCGAGGGTTACTGACCTGGGATTGGGTGTGGCTAGCTGATGATAAGCCATTCCAGTCTCCCTTGTATTTGTCGGTCATATCACTCGGTTTAATGTCAGCCTGCTATTGATCTAAAAACGCGACGCTACTCCTACCTTGTGTTGATCTGGAAGGGGATGTACGCGGAATAGGTCTTCCGGGATAAAAATAAGGGGGACTGGAATGACCATTTCTAGCTTACTTGCCCTCAGCAAGTAGCGAATGTCCTGTCGCGCAATTTGTGAGTGCCCTTCCCCGATGGCAGCCGACAAGACAACGAGCTCGTAGCTCAATGCTTAGGGCCCTTGAATTACAACCAAGAAGTTGTACTGACCTTGTATTCTAACCCATGCTTTGCTCGCACGCCTATGGGGCATGTCCCGCATGTCTGGTTCTCGTGTCCACCAGCGCGTGCGCACCAGACGGTGTTAAACCTCCAGTCAAGGTTACGGATGTGTCTGTCCTAACTGGCAAACCATTTCCCAAGGCCAGTTCACAAAGGGCCTTAGCGTGGTGACTGCTTACGCTCAGACACTCCGGGATCCGGCGACTTCATTGCCGGTTGCAGACACACAGACCCGGTGGCTACACCCGCCGGAATGCGACTTTGGACTCGGCCCGCTCATAGCTTGCCTGCACTTGTCTGGGAGTCACTTACCCAGTACTCACATTCTACTCCCTCCACGCTTGATTAAATTATCCATAACGCTTATCTTATCTACTAGTTTATGCCTATTGAGATACGTTCTATCTTCTATCTATTATAATTTGAAGGAGATGTCCTTTGGGATAAAAGGTAACTTTAATGAGTGAATTTTTGAGTTTGGCGCTCCAACTCGTCATCGGGCTAACAGGAAAGTGCGCTGAACAACTTATATTGCAAACTTTCGAAAAAATCAAAAGTTATATGGGGTGAGAGTAGATTGGCAGGTGTGCCCTCAGTTAGTCTCTGTCTTTGTCGGCCTTTGTCTTTTCCATCGTTCTTTGACGTGCTTATAAATA